TGTAGTCAACGATGTTGAAAGTTCTATTCAAAGTTACTCCTAAGTTTATAAATGTCCCATTTGAACGTCGTAGCTTTTCAAAAACCAGCCCTTTATTCCTAGAATTTGAGTAGGATTGGGTAGGTGTCTATCGTTTTTGTCCAGCACGTAGGCAGTCGGTACCAGTGCTTAGTGCAAGCATGTCTGGACAACCTGCTTGCAAGCATGTCAGGTATTTCAGCATGGGCAACACCCGCTATGTCAAGCACAGTCACAACTGTGACCTCCACCTTCAAGAAGGAATGACGTAAGGTGAATACTGACTAACCCGAGTACTGAGTCACGGGCAAGGCGTTGGACGTTGTTCGGGTTTAAATCAGGGAAGCCTCGCTGATTGGTTTCTTAGACTGCACTTCTTTATGGAATAATTAACATTGGTCGACGTGACCTGGATGAGGTCATTAAGGTCACGGTAATGACCCGGATGTTGAGGCGATGAAATCACAAAGCCGAATGTTTTTGGTTCTTCGTCATAAGTTCCTTAACGTGACTGGCAATGTCTTTTAATAGAACAAGACATGTCAATTCGACATTGCCAAACACTCTACAGTGATTAAGGATTGGAATAGGTGTACCATATCAAAATGGCGCCCCTTTTTAGTTTTGATAGAACTGAAGATTTTACGAAAACCAATATATTTAATTTATCATGAACCAGGTTATAAAGATAACCCTTTGGTCAATGTTATTTGACACGTTATTTTAAATAACTCGATACAGGCAGAGAGTTTTCAAACCGCAAGAACAACTCTGAATGAATATTCCGATTTGACGTCATCGGAAGCTAAAATCGATTTAACAGTTCTTCTGTTCCTGTAAGTATCGCTAGGAATTTTATAAAGATACTACACACATTAACAGTTATAGATTACATAAATGCAAATGCGTCGTCTGAAGCATTCAAAGTATATAGAACGATACACTGTCTGAAGACAAAACTACTGAAATTGACTACAAGAATTTACTTAATTTTGTTGGAACGACATACAGCCAGTAATGTGCATTGCTGTAGTTCAATTGTAAGCCGACAATGTGCCTTGCTGTAGTTCAATTGTCATAAGTAAAATGAACAGACAACCCATCTCTTCTTTGAAGATTCTGAATTTTTCTTTTCAAATCCCTTCCCTGGAAAAGGGTACTTTTTCTTCAAATTCAGTTGAACACATGGTCGGAACACCAAACTGTCAGGTATCCAAGCAACAGTTACAAGCAGTTCTCGAACGTTATTGCATGGCACCAATTACGTCACGCCCAAAATAGCAGCTGTGCAGACAACATGGACGACTAATAGTGATGTATTTTAGCAGTCGTAAAGCCAGGCCGTTGACAAAGTAAATACTGTGGGGATATAAGCGGTGTGACCTCCGTGCGGTCAGCCCAGGACAGCGGTCTGTCAACATCTGGGGGTACAATGGGCAGGGGGAGCAATGTATTTGTATGGGTATCATGAGGATAAACTTCGGTGAGACCCTAGATTGTGGCTGGCGCAACAGGAAACAGATTAACTGAAGATTTACGCAACTGGATCAATTGACCAACATCAGGGCAGTGAACTGAAGTGAACCTTTCACACTTGATTGTAAGACAAAAAGATGTGTGTATGAATATGAATGTACGCCGATTTTCATCACATATGGGACAAACGGGAAGGTCTTGGAGGGAAGGGGAGGAATGGGAGGGGCACAGAAATGTGTAGACTTGCACAAGTCTCTAAGATAAAAATTTATAGTTTAAATGATAATTTCTAAAAAATAATAAATAACAGAATGGGGTCCTTACTGTCGCTTATCTTGACCTGCCTCTTCTAAGGATAGAATTACTATACTGGACAAAAATAGTTAGAGACATATGTAAATTTTGAAATTATGAATAATGATGTATTTATTCATTGACACATTGATAAAATATCAATCATAAAAATACCAATATCCCTAACTTATTTTGTCCAGTATATATATCCATGAAATGCTAAGAAATGTGCTTCAATCCGTTATCGTGAATGGAAGTGGGGATTTCAGTAAATCGGTGCTATTGTAGATGGAATCAGTTTTGGAATAGAACCTGACTGACTGACTGACTGACTGAGTTTGGTTTTACGCCGCTTTTAGCAATATTCCAGCAACATCACGGCGGGGGACACCAGAAATGGGCTTTGTGCCCATGTGGGGATTCGAACCCGGGTCTTCGGCGTGACGAGCCAACGCTTTAACCATTAGGCTACCCCACCGCCCCGAATAGAACCAGAACTTAGAAGCGCCTTCATCACTTGGCTTACCACCGCTGCTGTTTGAATATCGTTATTGTATTTAGGAACCTAATGCTCGCTTGTACGTCTATGCATATCCAACAAAGAGAAACCACAATAATTGTTCAAATTTCGGGGGATATTCTAAATGGTCAAGACGCGATTTCAAATTCAAATCTAAACGTCAGTTGATGAGACACACACCCTTGAAACCTCGTTGAACGTGTGGTAACCCGGATGTATTCAAAGAGCATCTGACGTGCTCAGAAAGTCACAAAACATAAAAGACTGGAATGAGTTTCGCTTGACAATCTACTCAGGTATTCCATACGGGTCGGCACCCTTGACGAGTGCACCGCCACCCTTAGCATTGACCTTCAGAACGCTTGACGTCAGTAAGGTCAAAAACAGGATTACGCCTTTACCAGAAACGAACCTGGCTTTCAAATTACACAGGTTCAACTTATTGGCCGAGGTGACCCCGACTTCAGTAACAAGGTCATACGATAAGGTTACGCCAGGTCAAGCAGGTACCCGGATGGGAGTGCTCGGTGAGGGACTGTTTACTCTGGGCATGGCTGTTCTAGGGGTCGGATCGCAACACTGTAGGCTTTCTTGTTCAGGTGTTCTTTGTTGAATTTAACACTGACTGTACATATACAAGAGCGACTAGCCTAACAAACAACAGTGTTTAGATAACGTAATTACTTGACAGTTTTTCAATGTGCATGTGCCTTACGTGTCTAACCCAAATGTTAGAATTTGGGTTGCAACAAACTGTCGTCTGCGTCACTGCTGACGTAATTTGTGTTTCCAATTTGGAGACTTAGTAAACATTTGTTCAGAACTCAAATCGGTAGTGACTGTACTGACTGAGTTTGGTTTTACGCCGCTTTTAGCAATATTCCATCATCATCACGGCGGGGGACACCAGAAATGGGCTTCACACATTGTGCCCATGTGAGGATTCGAACCCGGGTCTTCGGCGTGACGAGCCAACGCTTTAACCATTAGGCTACCCCACCGCCCGGTAGTGACTGTAAAGAGCGACAAATATTACCTACTCTGGATGGTACGAAGGCTGAGATATGTTTATTCATCGATGTGGCTAAAGATATTGTTATACAACATCATTTGTCGGAAACGTTCACAGGGGCGGTGGTGTAGCCATGTGGTTAAAGCGTTCGTTCGTCACGCCGACGACCCGGGTTCGATTCCACACATGGATAAAATCTGTGAAGCCCATTTCTATTGTCCCCCGCCGTGATGTTGCTGGAATGTTGCTGAAAGCAGCGTAAAATACACTCACTCACTCACTCAACGCACACAATTGTTGATGTCTAGTTCTGGAATCTGAAAGCATAAATGCGATAACAGTAACATGTGTACACGTCTGGTTTATAGCGAGGTTTTGCAGTTATTTCGCTGACAGTAAATAAATTTCAGTTTTATCAGAGCGTGTCAATTCAATGAGGCTGAAACGTGATGCAGTTATATGACGTGTGTCACTTGGGTTAAACTCATGAGAAAGGGTATTGTCATAATAGATTGTATACTCCCCAGGGAGTTGAGATTGATAATACGATGTGCCGTTGAGATTGACATCCAGCGATCGAGGGAAACAACACCAGCGCCTTGAGCATGCACTAGTTGCCTGGATATGTGCGCTATATAAATATCCTAATAATAAATCATAATAATAGATGATCTTAAGGATCATGGTACGCCCAAGGGACGCAACTCTGAGCAGCAATCAGGCGTACAGGCCACTCGTGGTGCTATGGCCGATGAAATGCCAGATTTGTCCCATTCTGGCTGTTTTAGTGCAACAGTCGTTTGTATGGAGATAACCGTCGCCGATTGAAACACCTTTGTTCCCTTTTCTTGTGGCGGCGGTGGGGTAGCCTAGTGGTCAAAGCGTTCGCTCGTCACGCCGAAGGCCCGGGTTACATTCTCCACATGGGTACAATGTGTGAAGCCCATTTCTGGTGTCCACGCTGTGCTATTGCTGGAATGTTACGAAACGTGGCGTAAAACCATACCCACTCACTCACCTTTTCTTGTGTTTTGTCAGAAGATGGTGACATCGGGCAAATGGGATGCACCTTTCTGTTGTAAGCACAACCCACCATGTTGATAAATAAGAATAAACATCGGATCGCTCTTACCGACATAATAATCAACTTAAGTGATACATGTGCGCATACAATTTGATTATTGCAACCTTAGGGTTATGCACATAAAACTCTTTAACTCGAAATCCAGTGAAACGAAAACACATATCGACGTATTCGTACTTCGAGACAAGGATTCTGCAACGGCCATAGAGTACAATCTTCGAGTTTTACAGTTGGATCTGGTGTTTTATTCTCCAAGCGAGTGAGTGAGAGTGCATAGTTTTATAGTTCTATAGCATTATTTATATCAGTACTGTGGATTGGGTCATTAGAAATTGGCTTCAAACATTGAACCCATGTGGAGAATTGAACCCGGACCTCGGCGTGACGAGTGAACACTTTAACCACTAGATTACTCCACTGCCCCTTTCTACTCAGAAAAAGCAATCATCACTTAAGATGGTACATGCGTTTACAGTTCTGCTGTAATCAATTGAAAATTAATCTCATTTAATGAGACAGTGATACCGTCTTGAATAACAACAGTTACCTCAAACGATACACGGACGATCCATTCACACTTGTTTCGTTTCTTCCAGAACCAATCTTTCAAAACGGCGGGGACACGTACACAGTGCTGGAGGCGAGCCCTCCCCTGCTTCCAGTCTGGAGCAGACGACCCGGGGGTGGAGAAATGCGAGGCCTACTACCGCTGTGCCACCGAGAGCAATAACGAGTACCTCATCAGATGGCGCTGTACGGGCGGAGGGGGCGTTGGCGATTTGCCAGGAAACACTACCATGTGCGTGCAGCCTAGCCCGGATAGAAACTGTGCCCCTCCTGTCGTCTGCCCGAGTTCACAATGGCAGACGGCAACAGTCCATGTGAGTTTTGCAAAATAATTTTCATCAGTTATTGAATACGGTTAATCACCTACATGTAAAATATGATTTAAATGTACGGTAATCCACGTTTGTAATGAACACGCTTATAACGAACTGACGGATGTAACGAACTGTTACTTTGTTCCGAGCAACTTGCTGTATTTGTAGCTGAAACGGGTATAACGAACCACGGTTAAAGTGGTACCTTTGACTTCGTTATAACCGTAGTTTACTGTGTATCCGTGTATCAGTCATGATTAATTGGGAGAGGAATCCCGAAGTAACTCGAAGAAGATTGGGTAAAGAGGATGGTTGCGTGGATGGTACAGCTTGTATACAGATGCGAGCGTTGTATTACAACCAACGAGCTGCGGATCCTAGCGTGGCTAAGAGACGCAACTCTGCACGAACCTATTACGGTATACCAAGGTGTTTTCCAAAACCCCAGGGAGAGTAATGCCACTCAGTAAATATCACAAACCTACCGCGGTAGAGCCGTAACCGCAGTACGTGGACACGACAAATAGACTGAATTTGACTTGGGGCCCCGAAACCAAGCTGGTTGGACAAATCCAACCTTAAGCACCCTTCTGCCATGTCTGCTTGTGCACCCGGGCTGAGAGGAATCCTCCGTCCTCAGGAAGCAGTCTAACATAGCACCTGGATGATGTGTTATGTGCACGGCATTAAATCGTCTTTAAGTAATTCTGTGCAGCTTGCTTTCAGCTCGACTTGTTTAGGAGTCGTGTTTGCCAGCCCTGGCATGTCCGCCCGTTCAAGCAAAGGTTGCATAAGCGGGCGTAACCGCCAGCTCAGATGCCACACAGTCGGTGTTAATGAAAAAGACTTCGCGACTCGACGCGCTCAATCTCGTCTGCTTTTTCCACTGGGTTTGTGATGAGCAGACGACAGGACACCAGCGCTCGTTCACCTCCTGTACAATGGCCGGACATGAGACTGAAAACAGACCTGCATGTGTATCTGGTGAATACTTAAAGTGGGTTACATTATCTGACGTGGGATTGATAACTTTACATGTAGTTGGATCGTCTGTTGTCCTGTCTCTGATCTGGATAGCAAACATTTGGAGAGAGGGGTCGTATTTGAAGGAGACACTGTGTAGCGTGTTGATCGGATCCTGATCTTTCGTGTGGGAACGACACCTCATCAGACAATCAAGGCTGATTATTCTCCGATGTCTTCATAGCTTAACGATGTCTGACAAAACAAATGTAACTGTTTGTTCTTTCAGAATGTGAATTTCCCAAGACAATGTTTGTGTTTATTTGTTGTTTAACGCCGCTCACAGCATTACTAAACCTTCACAGCGACGGTTTGAATATATTCTTGTCTGGACCAGACAATCTAGTGTTTAACAACATGAGATTCGATCCACGAATACAGGACACGACGACATGCATTAACCAGGTCAGCGAGCCTGACAACCCGATCCTGTCTCTTCGTACTACAAACATTGATTGCTGAAGACTAATTCTAACTTGGATCTTCACGAGAGATGACTTCTCTGACATGGTGTCACGCTGTTGATGACAAAATCTGTCCATACATTTAAGGACTGGGATCACGTGGCCATCGGTTACGTTTTGTTGTTTTGACAGGCCTTTCGAGGAGCGGTCTCTGCTGTTCATGGTTCAAACACATATTGTTTCGTTGATACATTTTAGACCCATAATTTTCCAGTCGTAATCTCATTGAAAATCTGCACTTTTGCTGAGATGAGATTGAGACTGGTTCATACATGTTATGCAGTGCTTCTACTATCTATGCTGTTACATCGTGTGGAGCTTGCAGACTGCAAAAGGTGGCCAGTATCGAACTGCAGTTAAAGTCATTTTGTATCAGCTAACAACGCTTCAAGTGATGAAGGGGTGGTGGGGTAGGCTAGTGGTTAAAGCGTTCGCTCGTCACGCCGTAGACTCAGGTTTGATTCCCCACGTGGGTACAAACCGTTTCTGGTGCCGCCGCCGTGATACTGTTGGACTATTGCTAAAAGCGGCGTAAAACCATAATCACTCACTCACTCATTCTTTTCATCCGCAGCCTCACACACCTTTCCCCACCGAGATCGTGATCGGCGGCACCCTCGGCACGCTCTCCCTCATCGCCATCGTCTTCATCATCATCGCCGCCGTCCGGAAGTGGCAGATCAAGAGGCGGTGAGTCTTGTTTTAATGCTGTTTAATGATGGAAGTTTTAAATCGTATTTAGCTGGGTCCAGATTCCATCATTTACTGACCGTAGTGACATAACTCAAATAGTGTTGCATGGTTGTCACTCACTCACTCACTCACTCACTTAGAGGCCCCCATCTTGAAGATCAATGCTTTATCACATGGGAAGACGTTGGTTTCAGTCTACATACCTACGTTTACGGAAAACATCAGGGATTCAAATTTATAAACGACTGCAGTTTGCGGGTTCTGTCCAAAAATGCGTCTAAGTAAACGCGCTTTCTCCAAGCGCAAGCCTAAAACCAGTGGTCTTTTTGGTCGACCAGCTTGGTTCAACGCCCCTTTGAACAATATTCCTGCTGTATCACGGTGACTCAGTTTGATGAGGATGGACTGACTGACTGAGTTTGGTTTTACGCCGCTTTTAGCAATATTCCAGCAATATCACGGCGGGGGACACCAGAAATGGGCTTCACTCATTGTACCCATGTGGGGATTCGAACCCAGGTCTTCGGCGTGACGAGCCAACGCTTTAACCACTAGACTACCCCACCGCCCGATGAGGATGGAAAGCTCGGGATCATTCGGATCTTAGACGGTTCCTATTTTGGTAAAACCCTCGTGGATTGTTGTGGGTATAACTGTTTACCTAAGGATGGTATTTGTCGTATCTGCAGCGTTCCATAAATGGACAAAAGTTATACTACTCATAAAAGGTTAAGGTCACCGATTCGGGTAGTTCAGATCTTAACTTCTTTTGAGCAGTATATTTGGACACCTATATTGAGCAAACTTAGTGATTATCCATTACATTATGTCACCTTTCTGTTTTGCTAACTACCCTGGGCCCTGTTTCACAAAGCACTCTTAAGCCTAAGATCTTGTAACTTTCCTCGTAACATTCCTACTTCCTATACTGTAACATTGACTTACGATAGTCGTAGTGCTACGACAGCTTTGTGAAACGGGGCCCTGGACCCCAACGGCCCCAGAACGTCGTGGTTGAAGTCACATCGTCATCGCTCCTTACAAAACTTGACAAAATACAGTTCTTAGGTTGACAAAATGTTATAACACAGTTTACGAATAACATACATATCCATGTTTATGTCTTCTCTTGTTAAGAAGCCCCGCACCCACCGCCGTCGAAGAAACGAAACATTAAATGAATAACTGCTTTCTTAATGTTTAGTTAGGACAACATTAGGAAAATAATGTCTTTAACCCTTAGCGCTAAGATAGTCGTAAGTGCCATACATTAACATTAACTTACAACTATCTTAGCGCTAGAGAGCTTCGAAAATCTAGGCCCTGGTCTGGAAAACATTTGTTCTGTATGTCAATCTTTTAGTATATAAAAAAAACACCAAGTGAGAAATTTCGTTTATTAAAAACTGAACCGGCGTTACATCTAACGTCGAGTTTTCATAAAGCTCCACTTCACCAACGTTTTAACAGTATTTAAAATAACGTGATGAGCAATTAAAAAAATCCATCAAAAATACTGATGAAGAAAGTATAACAAGGTCATCAACACACAATACAATGAACCAACTCCCTACACTGCTACATTTCAAAACATTACATAAGATACAACATAATTCAGGTAACAACGCATCCCATTGCATTAAACCGAGGCTGCTTGTAAGCAAGTCTGAACGAAAATCATATGTACCAACACAATGACTCACATTTTGATACATTCAGTTAAAAACAGACATTACCTTACCATTAATGCTTTTCTTGGATAATTCATACCGACGTTTTTGGCGTTTGTTTATTGTTGTTTTTTTCTTGAATCGAATAGAAACGTATTTTTACATGACTTTTTATATAAACAATCAAGTCAAGACTACACAACCCAGTGTCTACGGGGTCCACGGTACTGGGATACAATGATACGGACCAGCCATCGAGCTTGACCCTCGTAATTGTACCCCGCAGATCCCGAAGATCCCGAAGACAATGGGTTGTCTAGTCTTGGCTTGATTGGGGCGGTGGGGTAGCCTAATGGTTAAAGCGTTGGCTCGTCACGACGAAGACCCGGGTTCGAATTCCCACATGGGTACAATGTGTGAAGCCCATTTCTGGTGTCCCCCGCCGTGATGTTGCTGGAATATTGCTAAAAGTGGCGTAAAACCAAACTCAGTCAGTCAGTCAGTCAGTCTTGGCTTGATTAATAACTGACTATATTAAGTGAGTGCTGCGTGAAAATAACAACCTTCAATAATGTGCCACGTTTACTTTAAAAGCTGAATTAAAAACGTAAGTGATAAGAGTACGCCTTTAATTAATTATATATGCCCATTTTTTTCTAACATCTCTCTAAATTATAACCAGACTGTAAGGTCATGTTATTTGGATTTAAGAATATCTTTTCTTGACACTGGAACGAAAACGGTTGCAGATCACCCTTCCTGTCTTATGAGTACAAGTAAATATTTCAAGCCAAACTGGCAACGATCTATTCGTTTTGTCAGGACAATAATCATAAACGATATTATCAGGTGATTAATCCTTCCAAGACCTGTGATGGCTTCATCGTTCCTGCACTGGAATGTCCACCTCAACATCTGCATGTACACCATAACTTGAATATTTGTCTATTGCAGTGATCTGAATATTGATTAACTCGTGATGTAGTCGCAGAGGCAAGTGATTATTCATAAAATCCTTGCAGTATCACATTTTTTGTCTTGAGCTGTCAAACTTTATATACATTTATTTGGGGTTATTTATTTCATAACACATGAAAAGTTACTTCTTTTGATTATAAAATGATGATCAGAGATGGTCTTGATATATTAGGTTGCTGAGGGCACAGGACACAGGTATTATAGAAATAGTTTAAAACAAACAACAACAACAAACAAAAAATCAGCATCCAAAATAAAAGCAACAACAATAAATTCTCAGAGAGCAAGTGGATTGTTTAACCTAAAAGAGAAACAATGTAACTCGGGCGTCGGGGCGTCACTTTAAAACCTGAAAATAAAACAGGCAAATAAACAAAAGAAAACGAAAAGAAGAATAATCAGTTCCTGTTATCCATAAAATGAACTACGCGTTTAGATTGTATTATAAAAAATCCAGTTCCTGTGTGACATTTGTGTTTCATATTTTTCTTAATGAAAAAAATATAAAAAAAAGAATTTCCCTCCCTCTCCATTTCGTTTTTAAGAAAACATAACTTGCCTTCCTCCTCACCGGAGAATCATGTGCGCGAGAATTATTCTCTATTAATAACCATTCATCGAATAGGCCGGCCTTGTGAGTGGTGACAAAAAGGATCACGTGGTCAGGCTCGCTGGTTGATGCATGTGATGATATCCCAACTGCGTAGATCGATGTCATGTCGATCAATGAGTTGTCTGGTCGAGACTCGATTATTATCCACTAAGTGGGAGGGGGATATTGGTTTGAGCTGCGTCCGTCCATCAGAGATGATGGGAACAGATTTGCTAAAAACCGTTATAGACAGGGAAACCAAATTTGGTATGCGTTTTCAGGACATGAATGCCTTGATGGAGTTCGAAAACGGAAAGCGTGTTACAATTTGTTACAGAGTTATGGCCCTTGTCATGCGTTTCTTGACTTAGTGCACGGTATCCCCAATGGGGACAGATTTTTCTCAGTAACTGTTATAGATAGGGAAACCAGATTTGGTATGTGTTTTCATGGCGTGAACGCCTTGATGGGGTTCGAAAACAGGAACCAAATAGGAACAGAACACTGAGGCGGGGGATATTGATGACCATGTCTTCCTGTTTTATTATAATAGCTGGCAAATTGCGTTCAAAAACAAGCAACTCACATTCATATAAAACAGACCTTAATATGAACTGCATTTGTTGAGATTGAACACTATCGACAAAACGCTGGAAAGATCACATTAATGTGTGCGTAACAATTATCCAGCTATACCTTATTAAAAGAAATATAAATGAGGGGATTTAAATGAGTTTTGAAATTAATAGTGTTAACCATTGGCTATCGTACGTTTCCTCCACAGACAGAGGTTTAAGCACCCACACCATCGCCCCATCAAGAAGACGCGGCTGGTCCCCTGGTTCGGAGAGCCTGTCCTCGCCTACGACATCTCCGTGAGAGACAAGGTCTACAGAGCCTACGACAACTACGCAACGGACGTAAGTTCCGTGAATGAGTATTGCTGTACGCCGCTTGTTTGCAATAGACAGTAAACTACGGTTATGACGAACTCAAATTAACCTTATCGTTATAACAGTAGTTCACACTTAGACTAAACCGTACGGGACAGTTAGGTAGCCTAGTGCCTAAAGCGTTCGCTCGTCACGCCGAAGACCCGGGTTCGATTCCTCATATGGGTACAATGTGTGAAGCCCATTTCTGATGTCCCCTGTCTTGATGTTGCTGGAATATTGCTAAAAGCGGCGTAAAACTAGATTCACTCACTAAAATGTACACCAAGTGATCAGGACAGTTGGTTACACACGTGTTCGTTATAAACGTACTTTAATCTGCCACCAATGATAAGACGGCGACACCAGAAATGTTCTATTATGGCAATAAAAGTGGTTTACATTAAGACAATCCATGGTTTTGTAACCTTTACAATAACAACAAAAAATAAATAAATACAATACACTGCTCAACCGAATAATTACAAAAAATACGGTCCCTTTCGATCATAGTGAAGTAACGCCATTACGATAAAAAAAAGTTTAAAACTTTATAACAGCAACGTTAACAGCTTAGCAACTTGTCAGAGCTGTGAAAGAGTCCTTTTACCCGCATTTATCAATACCGGAAACATCACCAAGCATTCGTCACCACTCGCCCCTTTCCGTAGCCTGCAAGAAGACGGCTTGTCCCGGAAAAACTCGAATGATAACCAAGGAGACACCAGAAATGGGCGTTGCCCATTGTTCCCATATAGGGATCACACCAGGTTTTACGGTGTCAGGCGCAAACGCTTTAACCACAAGGCTTCCCTATGGCAATCTTAGTAGTCACCGAGTAGTCTTATAGACGGAGGGGCCATTGTCAGAGTTTGTATGTATAGTCAGTTATATTGGGGGAATATTTCAAACAATGCAAATATACTATATTTATGTAGGGATGTATTTGAACATGCACATTTTCATGAGTCAAATACAATGAAACACCGATGTGTCGATCTCACAGCTGTTTCGAAATAATAACCTGGGTCCCGTTCCACAAAGCGATCGTAACGTTAAGGTGATCGTAACTCCCATACTTTAACATAGACTTACGACAGTCGTAGCGCTACAACGCGATTCGTAAGCCAGTGATAAACTATAGAGTTACGACAGGTCGTAATGTTACGAAAGCTTTGTGGATCGGGATCCTGGTCTTTGCGCAATCCTTATTTTGTAATAGGTTCGCGGTTGTGTTGAACATCGGATAACTCGAAGTATTTATGTAGTTCTCTTTGACACTATTTTGTGACGGATGAACATGTAACCATAGTAACGCATGTCTAACTGCAAGTGCTTTACTGACACATTTTGTGAGAATAATAATTTGGCAATAAGTTAAAAACAAATCATTTTAATATTTCCAGAAGTAATTTGACGGTACAAGAACAAGTTAATGGAAATGAAGATTATGTTCTGTTGTTTAAAGTCTTGAATTAATATAATCTGACACAATTATCGTTCTTTTTTCTGCTTTTTTAACCATCATAATGATAACAATCCTCTGAACGGTGAACGGTAATGATGAATTTTAAAATATATATATTTTTCCAATTTCATATCAGGTATACTACCCGGCCGCCCACTCAACTCCACGTGCAATGCGCATGCACGGTTACCATGACAACTCAAGTGACAACGCCCTGTGCACGATGGGAGAGGACAGCCATTACGAGCCATCTATCATAGCGGGCAGCTTCGTGTATCACCCGCCGTCCAACCTCCCACCCCACCTAGTGCCGGACTACAACCAAAACCTTTCCTACGACAGCTTCAAGAACGAGCACTTGTACGAGAACAATACAAGAGGGGTGGTGAGCAGCACCCTCAACAACCACCACCAGCCCCCCGACTTCTACCTGTGACCCCCGGGCTGTGCTAAGTATTGTGACAATGTGACAATTGTGGGTTGTTCTGACAGCCACCATGCATCTCAACCTGACAGATGGCAACTTTCGATGCTTGGCAATACGTGTCATCTGTAACAAAATGGCGCTGATATAACGCGACTGTGAATTCCCGGAGCTGCTGTTCCTCTCAGCAACTGTTTTCGGAACGCCATATTCCCGTAGAAAGTGAGTGAATATGGTTTTTACGCCGTTTTTCGCAATATGACAGAAACATCACGGCGGGTACCAAAAAATGGTTCAAACAAAGGTAGAATGCACCCCGAACCATTTTTGGAAAGATTAGGTACACCAGAACCATTTTCGGAGAAAGTCAGGAACTGGGGCAGTTCGCAACAACAGCCGCGGGTTGGTCTAAGCGCAAACGTACAGAGCGACTCAACAGACAGCTGAGAGACCACGAGACAGATGTCGACGGGATGGTTGACGTGTCGTCTGCTTCAAATCGTAACTTTTAGCGCTGGGGACATGTTTACAGTGTGTCCTGAACAAACTATGTTGACCAAGCACTAATAGACTGCTATGATGCAATACAAGGGAAACAGTCGGGCATGTGAGATATTGCATGTGTTTATAAGACTGAGATACGTTTTTGCCAATGGTGGTTGAACGGACTCATGTGTGGCGCGCGCGTCATCAAGCTACAAGCTCAACTAGGACGTATGTGTGTAAATACGTGTGTAAAGTATTAATGGACTACAGCTATACTACAGACTTGCCTGACAGCTTTACTAAGTCCCTGTACATAGACAGCAAATATACTACAGCCTTGCCCACAAAGGTTGATACTACAGCCCAACAGAGACGGGCGGAAACTGTACTACAGATTCTCTGCCGGGCACAAAGGTTGAATACTACAGTCCTACACATACCGGGCGGAAATTGCACTACAGATTTTCTGCGGGGCTTGCTACAGCCTTGCCCACAAAGGTTGATACTACAGTCCTACACAGACCGGGTGGAAACTATACTACAGATGTTACCACAGCAATCCAACTTATCTGCAGGCCATTCTACATTGGATGACAATGTTACTACAGCCTTGCATACAGCCGTTGCTACTACAGTCCTGCATGGGGTGGAAACTATACTACAGATTTCAACACTGGACGCCAACTTCTATGCAGGACTTACTACGCTGGGTGCCAATGTTACTACAGCCTTGCATACAGCGGTTTATACTACAGCCCTACATAGGGCGGAAACTGTACTACAGATTTCACCATCGGACGCCGGAATCCTCTGTAGGCTTACAACACTGGATGCCAATGTAGCCCAACAAAGATGGCATAAGTACAACAATTTGCTAAAGTCTGTCTTCAGAGGGTTCGTCAATGCTACAGCCTTGCCCATGGGGCAGCTTGAATAGTTTTTCCCACATTAAATTGAATTCATACCAGAGTCTTGCCCACGTGTCACATATAGTCTTTCCTAGACTGAAAGACGATATCACTTTATGTCTCACAGTATACCAGTTTTAATAGTTGTTCCTATATTTTGATGTAGTCCTTATCAGAACTACGCAACTGGGTAGGATTGCATATGTCAACCAAGTCGGCGAGCCTGACCTCCTCAGGCGATAAACTGGGTAGGGTGGTCAGGCTGGCTGTCTTGGTTAACACATGTCATCGTGTCCCAATTGTGTATATCCATGTTCATGCTGTTGATCACTGGATTCTCTGGTACAGACTCGATGATTTACAGACTGCCGTCATATAGCTGGAATATTGCTGAGTGTGGCATTAAACAACAAACAAACTCGATTGTCTGCCGAAACCGGCTCCATTTTTGTGAAAGCCAAAATGTGCTTAAAAGCCACCATGTCACATAGAACATTATTACAAAACCGTTTGAACTTGTTATTATTCTTTACCGTTACGATCGCTGCACCGAAAGGGGTGTCGAGTAACCAGGAAAATCTCCCTGTTTATAGAGGATGAATGTTTCATATCTCAGTAAGAAATTATCGAAAAGTTGTGGCTTGGCCCTCACAAATATGCGTCTTACCAATACAACCCAGTGTGTGTCGCAAAAATAGTTTCCTTAGACGCGCGAAATTTCGAGTCTTAAAAGAGAGCATTGGCCTTAGGCCATTGATTCAGTGGGCACTACATAGAACGTTGTTGGATGATAAGTCTGTTTCCAGTCATCATTCCAACAGTGTCAGATATTGTAAAGTTGTTGATAACATATTTAATTTTGTTACATTTTGTTACTGTTTGTACATTTTCAATAAAGACTTTTGCTATATGATTGTTTTGTGCGTGTATCATTGAGAACGTCGAATTAGAGACTGCAGAGGACGAAAACATTGGGCTTCAGAACTTGCACCGGGGAATCGGGCGAATCCTGCGTGAAGATTTCAAGAACGCCACCGATTCATGCTCAAAAGTTGTTTGATCAGCTAGCATCTTGAAATTTTAATATTACGCCATGGACATAAAACACCCACAAAATGGCCCTAAAGGCTTTGATGTGAGGTGAAATTGGGTTTAACGTCGTACTTGAGAATATTTCGCTCATATGACGACGTGCATGCGTGTGTATGTGTATGTGCGGCTGCTTGTACTAGCCCAGACTGAAGCTGGTTTTATAGTGCTCGCCCACTGAGATACCATGCCGCAGTGAAGCATGAATACGCCACTCAGACACAGTATACTGACTCCGAGCCGACCAATCCTTGTTGTACCCATTAATGCCGAGCGCCATGCAGGGACCAACAAGTACCATATTTTAACGTCTTTTGGTATGACGCGGTCGGGGATCGAACCCGCGACCTTCCGCTCTCCGGGCGGACTCTCTAACCACTACACCACGGAGGCGGTCCGAAAAGGCTTTGATATTGGCAGTGGAACAAAGAATAAATCAAAATCATTCAGCGAGCGTGTCGTAACTGAAGTGACATTCAGTATTCCAAGAATCATGTAATAGGCACCATAACTGTCCCTGTGTCATACAAATCATGAATTATTACATTACTTGCCTGTCCCCTTTCAGTCGCTAAATATAATATATCCAACGGTTAAACAGCTGCACAGAGCAAAGGGAGACCACTCTCGATTATTCACGTGTGCAGGTAACGTATAGTAAGTGAAGTTGTCGTAAAATATCCAGTCTTCCACCATCAGGTGGCCATGGCTACACACATTACAGACTTTGTGATTTCCATCACAGAAAACGTGTAGTACACTCAGCTGTGTGACAGCAACACAGCGGGATAGAGCAAACGACTTTTCAATATCTTCATTTGTTAATTCGTTTACTCTTATAGCAACTTCAAGTTGTATAACGATAAAACCTACTTGGTTCAACTGCCTCTCCTGTTGTGTTACTGTCCCCTTAGTTGTTAGTAGATCCAAAGAAGGAAGGAAAACAGACTCATGTGTATACCATTCACTAATATTTATTATATATCAAGAAATAGAATGGCATGTGCACACACACACCACACCAGACACACACACACTGGATGAGGAATCTACGAGAATACTCTCCTAAAGAAGGCAGCCACTCTCCTCAGCGCCTTCCTCACGGGGTGAATATCCTCCACAAAACTGTCGTCGTCCTCATCCTCATAGACCCAGTAGTCACTGTCGTCGTCACTTGGGACAGGGTAATAGCCGACATAGGTGATGGTGACTGGGGCAGGGGAGCGTCTCGCCGTGGTCAGGGCGGGCCCAGAACGGGGTGAAAACACTCAGGGGGTCGGGAGAGGGGCTCGGGGACGAAGCCAGGGGACGCTACATCGGTGAGTGGGGAGGGTGGGAGAAAGGAGGGTCATTGGGCGAGGTTTATAGGAGTTGTTTATAAGAAACAATGTCAGAAAAGGTCATAGTGCATAGTCCCAGATTACACACTTTAGGATACAGTATCCCAAGACAAACAGGCTGTGCTAACAGATTGTTAGAAAGTTAACGTGTAAATGGGAGAGGGGGTACCCGAGCACTGATTTTCAGCACACCATAACAGAGAAAATACAATAAAATGCCTCTATTATGCATACGACGATTAGGGAAACTTGGACAAAAGAAGCAAACTATTCCGTCCCAGCTAAAGAAGATGTAGATAAAATGCATACACAGTCGGATTCCTCATCCAGCGACGGCCATAGACTAGCAGCAGGAGTGACATGATACCGGATCATATCTTCCCGTGCTGAAAATAACCAAAACAACACATTTAAATACACATTAAATACATGAAGACTACGGCGACTACAACCAAATTGATTTAGGGGCCGTCGAAACGATAGTGGACAAGCGGATTGCCGATAATATAGACCATGGAGCCAATGGAATCTCTTTCGGGACAAGTATAGGCCACAAGAAGGTTAATAATGGGCATTTAATCGCTGCTTTGGTATACAATCCATCTATTACTAAAGCCATTATGGGCCAACTATTTGAATGAAAAGTGGACAGAAAAAATTCCCGAACTATGTCTTATAAATAGTAAAAACATGTCTACAGGATTGTTACAATACCCTCCGTCGTATATAAATACCGAGAGCTCTCATATCGCGGGCAGAAAAGACATTAAACACATACACATTGGGGAATTTTCACAAAATTGCAAATGGCGGCCAGTCATCCCCACCGTTACTGCTGACAAACTACGGCCAATTTCAATGGTAATCTACACTTTAAACACTTTAAAATACAATGAATGTCTGCTTAAATACCTTGAATATGCAGCCTTGTAAACATCTTGTCAGTAGCAGAACTCGGAACGATGCTGTAGTCAACGAAATGCAGAGCGATAGGTAGTAAGAGCAATGGCGATTCTGTTAAAAACAGAGGGGACCGTTGGCAACGACAACGGTAACTACATAGAGACGAAGTCAGAACGAGGCGTCATCGAATGTTTCCGGCAACGTCAAACAGCCAGCTATAGCTGCTTCTCATGGTATCAAATACCTGACGATTTATGAGTTTTAAATCAATGCCTATATGTCCCAACGTCGGATATACTGTAGTTCACTACCACGTCGTGTCTGTTAGTTCTTGAAAACACGCAGTCAATTCTCTAAAGCCCTGTAAAGATCAATACCAGTGTGAAAAGTTGAGGGTTCGTTTTCAGTCAGAAATATCCAAGTCTTCCGATTCCCTTTTCTGTTATTTCACAGAAGCTTATCTCAGAAAGAGAAGTTGCAGTCTATAGGCTACACATGCAGTGCCGGTTATAATGGACACATATACGTTAAGGTCATTTGCACCAACTTAAAATGTATAGAGGTTAGGATTTCTCGACAGGGACCATTTGTTTCCATAGAACTGTAAACAAACATGAAAACGACTACAAATAAGGAAGCACATCCTGCTTTGCCAGCCGCTGCCATGGTTTCCGTCGGTGATGATAAAAAGAAGTGCATGTTGTCTTTGTTTCGACCCCGAGTTTTAACTGGCAAACTGGTGAACGTAAGTAGTTGCTGGCAAAGTCCATTCATCTGATATTGGCACTGTCTGCTGGTGTGTAGCTCGTGGTGTACATATATAGGTTGTCGGTAGCTGCACTAGTTGCTGCGGAAAGATAAGCTACGCAATTCGGCTGGGTAAAATCGGGCTGATAAACGCTCGCTAATAGTCTGACAAGAGTTGTCTCCCTTTGTGCGTCGGCCTCGACCAAGCTGGATAAGAGAGACCGGTTCATCCATTCCTTCAAATACACTTAAAGCTCATTAACCTGCTTGCTCGATCAGTTTGTTAATTTTGTGCACGATTCAATCAAGAAATTAAACCCGGCTACATAATGTTCCATCCATGTTCCCGCTCATCTGAATGCCAAGGCAAGGCGTCTAATTGTAAGGCAAAGA